TAGTGTATATTGAACATAGAAGTAAAAACACTCAAGTTACTAGACCTGTGATGATGAAATTTTCCAATCATGTCAAACACACATTTAAAATCTATGAAAATAGTATGATCTTTTCATGATACTTCAAAATCCTTTCAGAGAAAAAGTTCGGGTAAGTATACCGCAGAGCCGCAGAATAACTTCTTCGAAAATCTGAATGATTTTCACTTAAAAGCTAGTTTCATTGTACAAATCATTTGAGGTAATTTTAAAAAATTTAAGTTTAGTCTTAATTATTGCAGTTAAATAAATGCATTCTTTTGTATGTTTCTATGTCTTTAAATATATCATCAATCGTGAAATATCGCTTTAAAAAAAAATGGGTGATTTTCACTTAAAAGATAGTTTCATTTCATTAATTGATAAAGACGATTTAAAATATTAAAGTAAAATCTTCTTTTTTAAATTTAAAAGAAAAAGTTCTTCTGTAGTTTCCTATGTGTTCTGTGGATCCTTTTTTTTAAGTCAGCTATTTTTATAATCATTTCGTAAGAGTTCCACAGTTTCAAATATTATTGTGGGCCTGGACTGAAGCTTACTTAATTCTTTAAGATAACAAATGTTGTTTATTATTAAACTTATGTATAAGTTATTTATAATTTATAAACTTATTTATTACAAAACTTAACTTAACTTATCATGGTAAATGTCACTGTTCTCTCCAAGTTGGCACACAGTCCCCACGTAGCCTCCTCTGGATAGCTACAATCATCCGTGCCTAGTATAATAATGTGTTCAGCGAAATCCTTCTCATGGATATATGAGGTTATGAGTCAGGCTTGGAATCCACCATTTAAAAACATCTTTTAATGCAAACGAAGAGGCAGCCTCGAATAAAGAAACTCTTTACTGTTGACACACGCAAATGTTATAAGGAACACAATTTAAAAATATGCACCTGGAACGTCCGAAGTATTTACAGAAAAGGTGCATCTATACAGGCAGGTTAATGTCCTCAGAAAATATAAGGCTGACATTACCACCCTCCGGGAAATGCGATGGACGGGAGAAGGATACTCTAAACGAGAACATTGTGACATTTACTATAACTGCCATGTTACAAAGCAAAAATTCGAAGTCAGATTTTCGATAAACTGAAGGTTAAGAAATTTGGTCTAAAATTCACATCAATAAAGGCTTTCCAAAATCCGTATTAAGGCAAAATTTTTCTACATTACACTAATTTGTGTATATACCTCAACGAAAGATAAAGACGACGACACCAAGGGAACTTTCTATGAACAGCTTGAGCAAGCATATGAACGGTGTCTTCATCATAACATCGAAATCGTTGTAGGAGACTTCAACTCAAAGTTATGTAAAGAAGGTATTTTTCGTGCTACTGTCAAAAAGTTCATACAAAAACTTCTGATAATGGAAGAGAGCAGATGAACTTCGACGAGGATAGAAACATGGTGATTAGTAGTACCAGATTTTTACATCTCAACATACATAAGGCAATATGGCTGTCACCTGATCAAAACTCTATATCTCAAATTGATCACGTTATAATAGACGGAAGGCATGCTTCCAGTGTCTTAGATGTACGTACTTCCGAGAAGCCAACATCGACTCGTATAATCATATTGTGGCAGCCAAAATCAGTCTGCAATCACAACAGACAACTAATGACTTCGCTACCCGACTCTCCCAGTATCTGGAAAATGATTCTGAAAAAACCGATATATGCGCACAATGGAACCACATCTCCAACCCCATGCACACCACTGCAGAAGATGTGTTGGCTATCACCGTATACAAAGAAATAGCTGGTACGACCAAAAGTGTCATGACGCTACTACAGAGAAAGACGCAGCATATCAAGCCACACTGCATTCAGTTGCAACGCGCGTTGCTACAGAACGGCATCTTCAAAAGAGAAGAGAACAGAGACGTCTGGTGAAAAAAAAGAAGCAGAAAGAGGAGCATTCGAGAGGAAAATTCTTCGGAAGATCTACGATGCCTTACGCGTTGGCGACGAGTATCGAATTAGATGAAACGATGAACTACTCCGCGATATTGACATAGAAAGTACTCCGGCTAAAAAGATCGGTACCCGTAGGTGGAGAACGCGGTAAAAAACGTCCGCATCTTTGGTGGAATGACTAGGTGACCAGCGAATTGGGGCCGCACGGTACTACCAACTGTCAACAGCAAGTAACTAATCGGGCTTCCTGGCGGAGGCTGCTCGACGCGGCCAAGGACGACTCACGTCTGTAATGGCCAACTACAGTAAAGTAAAAGTAAAATCACTCTTCACAAAAGCTGAATTTAATTTTGCAAAATATTAATGAACTATTAATAAAATACTAAAGCTCAGAAAAAGATCCCAAGAATTCCATGATATACGTCTTGGAGCCATTTGTCTTTTCAGATGATCATCTCTCCCAACACACTTATAACAACTATAATTATAATAAAATGAAAACGTCAAAATTACTGAGGATGCTTTGTGAGCAACGATCAGAAGTTTTCTGAACGTGAAATTATGGCTTTGTCAGATATAGAGAATATGTATAATTCAACAAAATATTTATATACTATAAAAAAAACCTTTATTACTTCCAAAACTTCGAAAATCCTCCACGATTTAAAACCATTTTGACGCAGTTATTAAAAATTATAAACACACTGCTCATACCCGTACCTAAAAATTTACACCACAAAGAGATTTCAGTAATTCAAAAAACAAAAATTTGTTTATTTAATTAATCGGAGGTATGTTAAACCCTCGAACCCCCCTGGTTAGATGCCTAACATTTATCATAAATGTTTATTACTTACTCAGCTCTTCTAAAATTCTAACTTTCATCAAAACACCAATAATACAGATTACGTTAAGTATGCCTTAACTTATTTCAAAATAACTAAAAGTTCATAGTTCTCTCAATATCTCCTGCGAAAGATCTTTAAATTATCAACAGAAAGATCAAGTCCCAATTATTTTCTTTCATACTGTACACAACTTTGCCCATTTTAACGTGTAGTAACAGAAAGACAATATTATGTAGATTGTCTTTGTTTATAGAATCTCCACTATATAATGGTAATGATATATAAAACATATATATAGTCTCCAAGTTATTAATATTTTCCAAATCACACAGTCTGATTTTCATAAACTATATATATATTCAAAATTAAATTATTGTGGAACTTATACTGGTAACATGTACTCGTTAAATTTATACTAAATCCCTATAATTTAATCTTATTTGCGGACATATAAGCTAAACTAGAAAGTATTATAAATACATTTTTGGTATGCGTACATAATCAATCTAAGACACTGACAAATTTCAAAATTCTTAAAAAAATAAAAGGTTTATGATTTCAAAAAGTGGCACTATATGGAATTTCTCGCTTTCATTCTTTCTATATAATAAAAAAAGCAAGATTTGCAAACATTTTCTTAAAGTTAAGACAAATAATTATGTAAAAAATCTAGTATAAAGTGTTGATTTAATAAATCTTTCGTTAGTTATGCAAATACCTTAAATTTGTGTTCCCTAGTGAAAAACTAATGTAATTATATATTATATATGTTTATTTTTTAGTCGTTTTTTATGAATACTAACAAATATTGGAGCCAGACTGATCTTTGACTCCATTCCATTGGAGTTTCTAGGTTTTTCTGCCTTAACTCAGGCTAGTTTCAAATAAAATCCCATCCATTTTTAATCCACTCTTGTTCCTAAACAATACCTTAACCTTTGATACTTCCTCTACGTAACCATATCCTTTCATGTTATCTGCCTTATAGGGCAGGGTATTACAACAACAACAATGAATAAATTCGTTTAATTAAATCAAAAACAAAGACTTGTTTGCATATTATGAAGCAGATAGACGTACAATCTGCATAAAAACAGAAAAACAGATGAACATATATCGTTAATAGTTTTGTAATGCTGATCAATAACATTGTATACATAACTTTAATGGTTATCGAAAAACAGAGCTTGAAACATTCTAAAATTTAAATCCTGCATCGTCTTGAAGAAATTTAAACGGTTTGGCAGCTCCAGCAATTCAAAAGTTAGAGAAGATCTCAGGAACGCAGCTTAAAGCAACTCTTACACTTCACAATATGTTAAGATCTTACATGATCTCTCTACCACAAATTTGCATAAAATTATAGTTTTATTTGGTGTACTAAAGGCCAGATTAACCTAACATTATCTATATTGTGGTCAATGTCTTCTTTACTCCATTACCAGAATTTTAACAAATTGATGAGTAAGCTTTTTACATAAAACTTCTTATAAAAAAATTTTTCTTACAATGTTCAAAATTTGTGCAAAACGGATGTAAGCAATGGGTTTTACATAAAACAAATTATATAAACAAATTTACATATAATTTAAATGTAATCAAAAATGTTAATATATTTACAAGTTTTACAGGAAGTCAACTTTCATGTCAAATCATTACTTTTCATACATATAAAATACTATGTGTTATGTTGCTGGGACCTACTTGTGAAAGTAGAACACCTTCGGAGGGTGTTGAAAAACAGTTTACTAGTCGTTGAAATTGACTAGTGTTGAGCCGCTATGTGTTATAATAATGTACATATAACACAAACATTACTTGAATCCTTAAGTACACCTAACATATAATATTTTACAAATTTATTAGAACTACATCGAATATGTTAGCAACTTATTTATGCTAGTTGAGCTACATATACATTTTTTTATATTATCTTAAAGACCACATTTTATTTACTAACGCATATAATCATAAACCTTTCAGTTGTTCAAATATTTATATAATGAAATCATAAACGCACAAAAAAAATTGATAAAAATTTTATCAGGTCTTGCAGTGTATGACTCAACTTCACAAACGTGAAAAACTTAACTTGCTGATTAAAAAATACGAAATAATAAGTATTTATATACATTCATACAAATTAATATTTTAACGAATATAAAAAATTTGTCCATTATTTTTACTTTTTATATTTTTTTGGAATTTTCCGTTTTTTTTATTTATATAACAAATAAGTTTTAAAAATGCAAATGATTAGAGTTTCATATTTCTCATGGAATTAGTTAAACCTGTATCAATATCCCATATAACAAGTTGTCCATCAACACCAGAAGTGCTGACTCTTTTACCATCACTCTTGCCGCCACTAAACAAACGTATACAATTGATTGCATTTTGATGGATTGACTCAACATGAGTATCAGAGTTCTCTGTACGTAAGTTGCGATCAAGCGATTGAAAGATGCGCATTGCGCTAATACCGCTTGATTCTTTCTTTTGTGACTTATCCAGTTTACTAATAAACACTATTCGGTCGTTGTCTAAAGCGTATACTAATGGTACACAACTATGACCAGCAACAAGAATGCACATTGGTGAAATCCACTCACAAGCCAAAAATGGTAAATATTCTGTTTTGCAACGTATAACAACATTGCCATTCGTTGCATCGCCAACGCTAATACAACTGTCATGTCCGATCCAACAAACTTTATTACCATCACTCGAGAAACTAACATCATTGATCCAACCACCGCCAGATGTTGAATTACGAAATTCTGCCATTAAATTGCCCAACGGCATACGATTTCCCCACGGAGTCGGTGTAGGCTGATCCTCTATATCTTTTATGTATGCAGAAAAAACGCGCACCTGTTAAAGTTATTAAAATTTAGACAATGTTTTAAATATGACTATAATACAACATACCTTGTAGTCAGTTGAACCGGCTACAAGTAACACATTATTTGGATGCCAATCTAGGGAAGTTATAGTAGAACGTATCGGTTTCTTTATATGTTTTGAGACCCACCAATCATTTTCAGATTCAAAGTAACATACTGATATTAGTCGTGCACCTGAACCTACAGCAAATTTATTCTCAGCAGGAGACCATTTAACACAAGTCGCCGCACGATTGATACGTAATAGCACCAATGTTGGTTTCCATTTGCCATCTTCGCTCTGCGTCCAAACATAGGCATTACGATCAGAAGCACAACTAACAATACGATTTGTATTACGCGCCCAATCAATGCCCATAACACGTAAATCATGTTGAGTTAACAGATCGGCTAACTTCCACTCATTGCCATTGCGTCCATAAATATGAATTTCATTGTTATTGGGCGATAAAGCAATTACTAAAAATAAACGTGCACTCTTATTAACATATTACACTTCAAAATGTTTGTAACTTTATTTACGTGAACGATCTTTATTCCAAGCATGACAGGTGATTGCATCCAATGAGCCACCAAATGTATACCGCTCTGCCATTGTTATGCGTTAAGAATTTAATAAAATAGCTTCACAGAAAAACAAGTAACAGAATGTTAAGTTCTAAATTATTAATTGACAAAACACGCTTAGATAATCGCGGACTCTGGGCCGTCTACACGATTAACTAAGTTCTAAAATATTGTTGAATTTGTGAAAAATACAAAAAAGATTTATAATCTTTTCAATATAATAGAAAACACCGAAAACCGCTCCTAATTGGATCAAAGTTGACTCAGATTCACGAAAACGGCGATGACAGCACACTGATAAATAGCTATCGAAAGCATGTAGAGTATGTTTAAATCGAATAAACACAGAGCTGCATTTCAAAGACTTTTGTAAAATTAAAATGTATTGCTATAAATATTTCCTAATTATAACATATTTATTACTCAACATTGTTTATATTATTAAAATTATTTTCACTAATTATAATAATTATTATATAATAATTATATATGCAATACAAATATAGTGTATAGTACCAATTAGACGTAGTCTGTGAAATATTATAATTGTTATAATATAATAAAATAAATCATTCTTTCCTTAAACAAGAAATTTATTTTAAATAGAAAAGCATAATACTATAAAATTAATAAAATAACATTAATAATGAAATTAATTAAAATTATTAATAAAATTAATAATAACAGAACAATTAAAATAGTCTTAAATTATAAACAAAATATTATAAATATAACTTCACATGCAATATATTTATATATTCGGTAACATAAAAAGAATCTACGCGTTTTTGTCAGTAGTTGGTGTTGGTATTGATAAGGATGGTCTAAAATTCTTTTTTCTGATTAGATTTGGTATATCATTTTCTAATACTTTATTGGAAAGAGAAAGATGTAGCAAAAACTTTGAAAAAAAAAAAACGCATGCTACAAAGCCGTTTAAAGTAAAAGATAGCTATAGATTCTACCCACGACGACAAACTTAAATTTTTTAATGATTTTAATCTATATTGAAAAGATTTGGAGATATAGGTTGTTCAAAACGACAGTTTTTTATATATTTCACACGTTTTTAAAAAATACTATGAAAACTAATTTATTTAAAATTTTTTTAGCCACTCCAAACTTTATACAAAAATAGTTTAGAATAAAATTTGAAAAATAATGTTTATTAACCTAATGTGAAAAGGCTTGGTGCAGCAATCTGAAAGTAAATCTTAGAATTCATGCGCTACGTATATTTCATCATTGAAAAAATTTGTGAACTATATATTCAAATATTAGTCTACTTAATAAATAAATATGTAAATTAATACATCATAACAAATTAATTACATCTTAATTTAATTTTAATGTAATGTTCAAATAAAATAAAAATTAATTAGTTTGATTAAAAATTTATTATTGAATAAATTAAAAATAAATTCTGTTCATATTTTTTATTAATTTTTGATTTAGACTATTTTAATTTGTATCAATTAATATTAGGATTACAAATCATTATTAAATTACATTAACTTTAAATCTTTTTAATCTGAATCATTTGTCGTCTGTAATCACAAAAAACAAAAACATATGAGATATATGAAGATAAGGCGATAACGTCGCATAGTTCAAAATTAACAAAATTTCAAAATCTATTGATGAAATTTGCTTAAAAGACACTTATTGTCAATATTTCGATCAGAAAACTCATTCAACATTACAAAGCGTTTTGTATATCATAGAATAGCCAGAAACCTTATAACCTGGCATAAATTCATGTACAGTTTAAGATTGATGACAGTAGTCCATGCAATTTTCATTGGAAATGTTTATATTTTTGACAAGTTTAAGTCGGTGGTTAAGGTTTAACTATATGTGTGCATTTTCTCACTCTTTGACAAAAGATTATTTTTAAACTTTTGTTATACAAAAAATTAATATTTTTTGTTGGTCATCCATAGCATTACAAGACATTTTCTTACTTATTTATTTTGGACTATCACATAACAAATATTAGTAGTTGTTAAAATTGTTTATAAAACACTAATCGCTTTATTGTATATACAACGAATTCTAGGCTATTAGACCTCATTTATTTATATATAATACAAATACTTTTCTTAGTTTAAAAATTTGAACTTCTATTTTATTTTAATCTTCGAACAGAGTTTTAATGTCCAAAGGTTTTTTGGTTTGTTTTGGAGTGGTTTTGGCTTCTGTGTTTTGTTTTGTTTTCCAGTTCTCTTGTGCTTCCTTGAAGTCTGACATTAAATTAATTTTAGTTTCAGATTCCAACTCAGCAGTTTCTGTTGCTTCCCACTGTGTAGGTTTTCGTCGTTCCATTAAAATATCTTTTGCTGTGTTAAATATTTGTTCTTCGTCAAGTGCACCTTGAGCTTTTAAGTCATTGTATATTTGTATAAATTGTTGTGTACTAGATTCTTTTTTATTGTTTAAGCCAACCATTTCGACTTGTTTGACTGATTTATGATATTTTCTGCAATTATAAAATGCATTATGACAAATTTCAGATTTATAAATAATTTAGCAAAGAACTACTTACGCTCGAACAATATCTTCTTCATAGAAGATATCTCTTATTTTCATATCTGGTGCTGGACGATCGAAACGTGGTTCTAATTTTGGAGGAAATGTTTCATAAACATCATACCACAGTGGCTTGTCCATTGGTTTCATGGCACCGGCACGCAACAAACCTTGAACCCTTGAAAATATTAATTTAATTTGTATGTGCACTCAGTTATAAAACAATTACAAATACCTTGTGAAAATTGTGCCAACTTTTTCGAGTCTACTTTGTGCCATTTTATTTTATTTATATTTACTATTTTTATTATGAAACAAAAAGTAATAAAACAATGTTTGGAATATAACCTCATCAATGTGTGAAACAGCTGTTTGAATTAATCGATAAATGTTTAGCGATAATAAAAAGATTCATGAAATATAACTTTATATGGTTACTTTTATTTGTGTGTTGAGAGTAATTGGAAGTATTATATGTATTTAGTTTTTAGAAAATATATAAAAACATTGTAAGAGATAATTTATCCTTTTTAATACTTCTTATGTAGCAATATCATGGCATAAAATATATTTTATTTAATTTCAATAAAAATATATACATTTATAGTTTTTATAAATATCTTAAGTATTAATAAAAAAATGTTTTGGAAAAATACTAAATAATTTGTTCTAATATGTAAATCATATAAATCTATAAACATTTTTTTCAATTTCGTGTAATTATTTCGAACTAACTCGTTCGATCTATAATATTCTTACATAAAATTCAATATATCTGTCATGCTGAGTAATAAATTTAAGTTTATAATAGTCTTGTTAAGGACGTGTTCGAGTTCGAGTAAATTCATATAAAGTAAATTGAAATTTCCTAGGGATTTTTTGCACTGCACTTATTTACACTTATTTATTGCACTTATTTTTTATTTTTCTGTCAAAAGTTTTCAAATTTATGTATTTATTTATTAAATATCTTATAAAATTTTTACAATGGTAATACCCAATTTACTTAATTTATCCTACTCGAAATTGTGGTAAATACCAACATTTGTTGCCAGAATGTTGGTATAGTAAATTCGCAGAATTTACTATTTCCCTCAATTTACCATCAATTTACTCCAACTCGCACTAAATAGTTTGTAGTAAGAATACATTCCATACTTATTATTACGGTTTATATATATATTAACATTTAATTTATATAAAATAAATATATCAATAGCCGTAATTTTGTGTTTTGCAAAATCTTTCATATGTGCACATAGTGTAAGCAAATTACATTTTGCATAAAAATATATAATTAATATAAAATTGAAAATTAAAATGAATAATGAATTAAAAGCAATTTTAAGAATGCAGGAAATTGTGAAATTTTTATTTACAACAAAATTAATAAGAGGTTACAATATTTATACAACTTATAAGTTAAAAAATTAAAAGCGGTTTTCAATTATATTTTCTTTATGTACTCATATATATTTTTGTATATATTTATGTATATATTTTTGAAAAATATTTATTTTCCACAGTTTTGCTAATTTTTAAATATTTTATTTCCAAATTTTCAAATTCGTGAAGCTTTTTAATTTTGCTTGAATTTTTTAATTTTGAAACTTTTGACATTTGGTTGGAATATTCGTTGAAATTTCCAATGAAAGTTCACAATAAGGTGTTTAGACAAAAAAGCAACTATAGACCGAAAACGCCTACAATTAATATTAAAATCCAATAATATCAAATTTTAAGTTTTTATTAAAAATTTTAATTTAATTTTTATTGAATTTTAAAAGTTGGTTTTTATTAAAAATGTTTTAATTACTCAATATTTTAATAGTAGTTTTCAATATGTACCTAATTGAATACTTCAAGCTAGACACGTTTACCGTATGTGTAATCTTAGATATGATAAACTAGGGTACTTAGTAATTTATATTTTAATTGACCGACTATGAGGACGGACAGACAAATTATCAAAAAACATGTAGTTCATAATGTATATTGATATTATGAGCTAATTTTTAATGGAGTATTTTGCATTGTTTAAAAAAAAATTAAGCGAATTGACAGCCCCTAGTGTCGAATTTCAGTTCAATAAGTTATAAATGGGCTTGGACTACTTATTGGTAGAACCAATCAATGTTTGGAAAGAGTACTGATGATGGATATTTGGCACTATCCATAACATCTTTATGGTCAGTTCAAGAATTTACTTGATGAAATTATAAGTCCTATACAGGAAAAAGAAGATGGTGTATATTTGTAAAATGTTAAGTTTCTTATATATTCTGAACTTATTTCACTTGCAATATAAAATGTATCGAATACAAAAGTAATCGATAAGTTTACAATGCAAATTATCACTGTTTGCCGGTCGTGCGCGAAAATTAAAGATGTTTTGATTTGGACCACAGCAAAGCAATATGCATATTATTCGTTCTTATTCGAAAAAATTAAATCGTGAAATTTATCCAACCAGTCGCATTAAAATTTTTAAAAAAGCCAAGGCAGTAACAAAAATTGTCCCAAAGTCTAAACCACTAGAAGTAGGAATCAACGCAACACCCAATAGTCCAAGCGATAGTTTCGAGAATGCAAGTAATACAAAACCAAAGGCAAAAAATGTAAATAATTCGAGTGAGTATTTTGAAAATATGGTTAAGGTGCAAATGATCTCCAAAAACCTACATGAGCAGATTTTCAAACAGGCACAACGTCAACCACACTTGGACAAAGCTACCGAACGTCTTTATTTGTCAGAGTTTAAGCGACACGGCATTGAAATAGAAAACACTGAACGCTTGGAGGATGTGCAAATAAAATTACCACCACTACGTGGTAATAACATTGAAGATCATTTCTATACAATTGCTGAAGAACAGGTGGCGCCATATAAAAGTCTCTTAATGCCTTTAGTACAATGTGCAGAATTACCAAAACGTCCCAGTCAGTGGGTTTTTCGTGAGGGTTGGACCGTTTATGATAACAACACTGGTATAGGCACTTCTATTGAATATCCTACTGAAAATGCTTTGGTTTTTGATGTGGAGGTATGTGTACAAGAGAGTGGTGCACCTGTATTAGCGACTGCAGTTGGTACGAAGCATTGGTATTCCTGGGTAAGTCCAAGATTAGCAAGTGCTGAAGAAGATAATTTAGAATTGGAAAAAGATACATATCACAACTACACGTTGGATGAGCTTATACCATTGGGTAAAGTAAGTCCGAAAATTATCGTTGGCCATAATGTTTCATATGATCGAGCGCGTATACGTGAACAATATTTACTGGATGATGTGGGTACCCGTTTTGTTGACACAATGTCTTTGCATGTCTGCGTAAGTGGTATAACGAGCTATCAGCGTGCTATGATGAAATCCAAAAAAGAATTACCGACAGAAGATATTGAATGGAGAGCACAAAGTTCACTAAATAATCTCGTAGAAGTGCACAAATTATATTGTGGCGGTGAAACATTGACAAAAGAACCACGTAACATATTTGTTGAAGGTTCTATTAATGATGTGCGCGAAAGCTTTCAAGCACTTGTTGATTATTGTGCTAGTGACGTGGAAGCTACACACCGAATATTAAAGGTACTTTTTCCATTATTTGCTGAACGTTTTCCTCATCCAGCCACGTTTGCAGGCATGTTAGAAATTGGTTGCGCCTATTTACCAGTGAATGCCAATTGGTTGCGTTATATTAGGGAGTCCGATTTAACTTATGATGATCTTATCATTGAGTCGAAATACCATTTAACTCGTCGCGCGGATGAGTCCTGTAGATTTATGCATGATGGACAATATCGAAATCATTTATGGCTTTGGGATGAAGATTGGAGTACACAAGAACTTAAAATGAAGCATTCAAAATCTGGTGCTAAAACAAAATCGCTTGATCATACTCCAGTGGTTGCAAGTGAAAGCGTTAGTGAAAATTCTAAGGATTTGCCGAAAGAAGAACATGACTTGCAGGAAAAATTTAAATATCTTTATGATATGAAACAGTTGTTGCCAGCAAGACGTCCAATTTTACCCGGTTATCCGGCTTGGTATCGTAAGTTGTGTAAAAAGCCACCATTTATGCAAGCATCAAATGCAGAATATGAAGAAGAGTGGCATCCAGGTGCCACTGAAATATCTACTGGCATGCAAATTGCACCAAAACTATTATCATTATGCTGGGAGGGTTATCCTTTGCATTATTTACGAGAACAAGGCTGGGGTTTTCTGGTGCCGTTTCGCAAAAGCCATGATCTAACTGATAATGCGGATAATGTAAATTGTCGCATACCGATTGAAGCGTTATCTGAACGCTGTCCAGTTGTTGAATTAGACCATATGGGCGCTAGCGAAAATGAAAGTGATTATGCATTTGACAATCTTAACAATGAATTGGACATCAATTTAAGTAAGCGTGACTTTTATAAAAAAATAAAAAAGGATCGCACTGGCGGACAGTATAAAGGTACAGGAGTTTGGTGTAATAAGGTACTAGAAAACTGTTGCTACTTCTTGAAGTTGCCACACAAAAATGGTAGTTCTTTTCGCGTGGGCAATCCATTGTCAAAAGATTTCTTAAATAAATTTTCTGAAAATGTGTTGAGTAGTGGCGATACAGAGAACGACTCTGCGTCACGTGTTATAGAAATTGCACGTATGATGTCTTATTGGCGTAATAATCGTGATCGCATCATTGGGCAGATGGTTACTTGGTTGCCAAAAGATCATTTGCCAGAACGTTTAAAATCAACGGTTAATGACAATACTTATTATGGTGCGATATGTCCGCAAATTGTGGTTTGTGGTACGCTTACACGCAGAGCTATGGAACCCACTTGGTTGACTGCATCTAACTCACAACGTGAACGTGTTGGTTCAGAATTGCGAGCGATGGTGCAAGCACCGCCGACTTATAAAATAATTGGTGCTGATGTTGATTCGCAGGAGTTGTGGATTGCTTCTGTACTTGGTGATGCATATGCTTGTGGTGTGCATGGTGCTACACCATTAGGTTGGATGACACTAAGCGGTTCCAAAAAGAATGGCACTGACATGCATTCGGTTACAGCTAAAGCTGTTGCAATTTCACGTGATCACGCCAAAGTTATTAATTATGCTCGCATTTATGGAGCAGGGCAAAACTTTACCGAAGGATTACTGAAGCAATTTAATCCCACATTTTCAGCCACTGAAGCTAAAAGCAAAGCGATGAAAATGTTTGCTATTACCAAAGGTAAACGTCTGTATAAAATACGTGAAGAACATTTGGATTCATATGAAGATAAGAAGTAAGTATAGTGCACTCCTATACACTCCTAAGTCAAATATTTATCATCTTTATTCCAGTTACTCTAGTTATGAGGCTATGAAAATTGCTGTTTCATGCAATCGGCCGCTTGCTGAAATGTTTCACAAATCAGCATTCGTTGGTGGCACTGAAAGTGCCATGTTTAACAGACTTGAAAGTATAGCTTTAAGTACTTATCCCGTAACGCCTTTTTTGGGCTGTCGATTAAGTCGTTCTTTAGAAAGCAGTTCTGGCAATGAAAGCCGTTTTCTGCCAACACGCATCAACTGGGTCGTACAAAGCGGTGCAGTTGATTTTCTACATCTAATGCTTGTATCTATGCGTTGGCTTATGGGTCCACATGTACGTTTTTGTCTTAGTTTTCATGATGAAATACGATATCTGGTTAAGGATGAAATGTCTTATAAGGCTGCGTTGGCTATGCACATAACGAACTTACTAACGCGTTCATTTTGTTCATCACGCATTGGTTTAAAAGATTTACCTATGTCTGTTGCCTTTTTCTCATCTGTGGAAATAGACACAGCATTGAGAAAGGAAAGCACAATGGATTGTAAAACTCCATCTAATCCATATGGTCTACAAATTGGCTACGAAATACCGCCTGGAGAAAGTTTAAATATATACGAGTCCATTGAAAAGGCAGGTGGAAATGATTTGACACAGTGGGAGTGGATAAAATAAAAAGTTGCTATTAAAAAGGTTAGCGAGAATGATTTGACTCAATGACAATTAATAGAGTAGACTTCATTTAACATAAACTACTGTATATTAACTGTAAATAGTCGTTAATTAATTAGTAAGTTTTTTTTCAGATATAATTAATTAATTAATCTAATAATTAATCTAAGTAATTGATTAATTTAAGTTGTTAAATTTACAGACGAGATATATTTTTTTATGCATACCAGTAAAAAATAAATAAATTATTAATTAATTGAAAAATGTATGAATACATAATTTGGATACAGAAGTATACAACCGGAACACGGTTTAGATCTTTCCAACCATCAGGTCTGCATCATAGTATAATTAACCTTTTGCTTAGCTCAAAGTTGTTATTGTAACTGTTTGTTTAGTACATGGCTATATTCGGGACTCAATTGAGTTAGGACAGCTATTGCTGCATAAGGGGACGCCTTGCACCTCTCAGGAAATATTAAGTGGAGGACTCGAATGGATTTGACATACTTTGTGTTTTAAAGAACAAATATCACTAAAGAATTAATGCCAAGTGTTGTCCAGTCATATTTATAACTTCACCACACCGAGATTGCCCCGTCATTGCGCACACTTTACAGCCCATCGTAAATTATATAAACTTGTGATCCATTAATAGCATCTGCTCTACAGGTCCTTTACAAGAGATATAGAGTTTTTTCAACTTTATCTTGTTCGTTTTTTTTTAAGAAAAATATCTTCGGCAAGTTAAAGATTGTTATAGAGTATAAGTTCTCAGATTCACTACACAATTTTAGTGAAGCTGAGAATGTATTAGAAACAGAGTGTTACTGGATAAATTTATAAGATTTAATATATATTATCTTCAAATATTTTGGCTCTGATGTTTGAGAGGAAAACAATAATAGGCAGTAAATAGAGTTATAGATTATAGTAGTAGTTTAGTTATAGAATATAGCATCAATTAAAGTTGTATATTATGTTATAATGTAAAGGAAAATGTTAGTAGCTGATTAGTGAAAAGTGGGGACAAATTGAATTCAAATTGAATCTAAGTTTAAGACCTCTACTCATTTAAATAGATGAAAGTATAGATTAAATAATTAAATAATTAGTTTGTGCGGTGAAATAATTAGAACTTATGTGACAAAAAACTACAGATGGAGCAAAAGTTTGTAATTAAGGTATTTATTTGCGCTAAATAAAGCAAATGGTTGCAGTACTTGGATCAAAACCATTTTTGCTGATTTAGACCCATGTATCTCCTTCTAAGAAGTGTATATTAGGTGTATGTCAGTTCATGAATAAAGTAAAGGCAATAAATTGAAATGAAATGAAATGATTACATTTATGAAATTTATTTATGAAATTATGATTTAGTTCGTTATGATACTCTTAATTTTTCTTCTAATATTTTAATATCAAAATTAATGAGGGAACTTCTTCGTAAATTAAAGACACAATAATTAAAAAATAATTCCTTATAATTATTTTCTCTTAGACCTCTAATAAAATACACAAGTTACTTTTTAAATACTAGTACGTTATCGCCAAAAATAGTACAAAAAACAAATAATTCATCCCATATTCTGAATGAAATGGGAATGAGAGTTTTTTCTCTTTTCCCATTTCCTTTATTTTGAATTAAATTGGAGTTTTGTCTATATTTCGTGCCAATCTTTTCCCAAGCAAGTTGTGTGGGAAATTAGTAAAAAAAGAGTTTAATTTAATATGTAAGTAACCAATAATGATCAGTTTTTATTATATATTATATAGGGGAATTCAATTCTAGGAAGGAATACACTTTGAGGAATATTCAGAATAGGGGTGATACTTTCATATATTTGATAATATAGTTTTGTTCTAAAATGACTTTAATCGAGTTTATTAGAGCTGTACAGTGAATTCATTCGTTGTTGGAATGGTTGGACGAAAATTAAAAGAATTTGATTTGTTTTACAGTCAGTTAGAACGTGAATATATAAAAAATATAATGATTTAAGTAAATATTTAAATGAGTTTATAGATTTTACTAAAGTTTAAATTAAGTCATTGTTTTTCAGAGCTCTTATATTTTGTTTCTTAAATGTTTTTGATAATTTAAAATCTTTTTTTAAGTCTCAAAAATCTAAATAAGTAGATTTTCATAGAACGAATATTATTAGTTCTATTTACGATAATATATAATCTTATTGTATATAAGTCTTTATATACATATATGGGTCTAAACCAGTTTTAAACTTTTATTTTAAAGTTAACTAAGAATAATGAACTGGAGTGCTAGATCCTTCGCCTTGTGCTTATATTAATGTTAACAATTATATCTAAATTTTATTTAGCTATAGATATTTAGATATTTTGGTAGGTGTAGCTTTATTATATTGTAGTCGTTATTCGTTATTGCGTTCAAAATGCTGGGATCGTTGGTTGGGTTGCTGTAACAGTTTTTGAGATTTCTCATGGTTACAATATATCCACATTTGGGACATATTGGCTGTACATACATAAATGCTCAAATGTTAGGCTAAAAAATTATTTCAGTAATGTTGACGTAAAAATGATCAGATCAAATAGGCAGGCATTGCCATAAGTCAGATGAAAGAAAAGTTTGATTTAAATTTCAAAAAACTTTATAGTTTTTTATAATTTAAGTTGTGTTTATGAAAGTATTTACTGAAGCAAAATTAAATGTTGAAAAATTATAACACATGAAAGTGGAGAATGAAAATATATATTTTTTAGATATTCGCATGCGAAAATTTATTTGTTCGTACAATTCATTAAAAATAATAAAAATTTTAGTACAAATATTAATTAAAAGAACAACTTTAAGAAGTTTAATAAGTGAGTATTTGAACAATAATTAAAATAATTATAATTAGTAAGCAAAATATGTTAGTACATTGAATTAAATTAGAAATTGACGTTTGATGTCGCAAGCAGCTGTTACACGTTAAAGATTAATCGATTTTATTGAGTCTTATCGATTCCAAGTTGTCATCACTAAATTGGTTTTCTCGTTGACATTCGTTTGATGACGTTTTTTTTTTCAATGAACAGTGATAATTTTTAGTGCTCGATTTCACTTTACTAATTGCGATTATTTTTGGTAATTAAATTTTTTGTTATATATAAAAAATGCAATTACGATATCATAACAACAATCAAAACAAAGTCTAGGAGGATGTGTTGATTTGCTATTGCCTGCACACTGAGCATCCAAGACAAGTTTATAGTGAAGGACCTTGGCAATATGCAAAGTTACCCCACAAAAACTAAAGAAATGTTTATTGTGCGTGCATTAGAGAAAATCCTTGCGGACAAGGATATAAGACGTTCGCAAAACTCACAATTGAAAAAGTCCTGCGATTCCGCATTGGAACAAATAAAGAATGAATTAATAAATGCTGGACAAATAGCCGAGGGTAATGAGTTACCTTGTGCTGCATTGCCATTACCTAAAAATGATGCTGCTAGCATTATTAATGCAGAAACATATTTCCTGCCATTCGAATTAGCATGTAAAAGTAAATCACCGCGAATTGTTGTCACTGCATTGGATTGTTTACAAAAATTAATAGCTTATGGCCATTTGACGGGTACCATACAAGATTCAGCCAGTCCAGGTCACCTGTTAATCGATCGTATTGTGAATACGATTTGTGGTTGTTTCAATGGACCACAAACCGATGAAGGTGTGCAATTGCAAATAATTAAAGCTTTGTTAACAGTTGTCACATCTCAACATGTGGAGATACATGAAGGTACCGTTTTGCAAGCTGTACGAACGTGTTATGACATTTACTTGTCTAGCAAAAATTTGGTTAACCAAACAACGGCACGCGCTACACTTACACAAATGTTAAATGTAATATTTGCACGTATGGAGAATCAAATCTATGAGATGCCTCCAGTAAACCTACAGACAACAGGTGCCAATCATGTTAATCACAATAGTAGTGGCAGTGATAGCAATTCGGTGCATACACCAATAGCAGCGTCGAATACGCATGATGCAATCGAAAATGATGACTCGCCTGAAGGTCTTGCAAGTTCTGTGTTAGAAGAGATAATAAGCTGTAAGTATATAAATATGAATATATATGATATGATTTTATTAATCAATGCAGTAAAAATAATAATTTTATATTTTTAATAGAATTAATTTCCATTATGTTTTAATCAAACTGATATGTGTGAGTCAACAAAATACCTTTTTGCACCTCTTATCAGTATCACATATGAACTAATATTTCTGGAAGTAATTTCATATTTATATGTCGCAAGGATTAATTAGTTCTGCACTAAGTTCTGCAGAGGTCAAAAATGCATCATCATTTTTAGTAGAACAATTTTATCTCAATTACATATCAAATATCTATTTTTTAAAAGCAGTTGTGTTTATTTAAAAAAAATCTCTATTAACTAAGTAGAGTGTCTGTTTTTTGAAGTGCTTGTTATTATTAAATGAAACAGTTTTGTTTTTATACATAAATTTATATAATTATAAATGATTAAAGTCAAGCCATTTGAATTGTACGCAACTCAATTAATTTATATTTATCTTTTCAATTAAGTTTTTATGACGCCACATAACGTGTTGTGGACCGTATTTCTGTTCAGCTTTTGCTTTGAGACAACAGCTGTTAATATTTGTTTTTATTCGTTCTTAAAAAACTATTTTTTATTATAAAATTTATTTTCCATCGTTTAAAATTATTTATCATCATTTATTTAAATTAATTGAATCAAGATTTTGTGTTACTAGGCACTATATAGAAATTTGATTTAGTTCCTATAAATATATGAAAAAACAAAAAAAACTCTACCTTCAGATTAAAAAAAAAATTGTGTGATCCTTCGATAATTTACATTATTACTAGCTATAGTAAGTACTGTCTCCTTCCACGAGTAGACACATACATGGAATTAAGATGTAGTGGAATTGTTGCTGTTGTTGTAGTCCTCCGGAATCTGAAAGCAGATAACATGTAAGAATCACAAGACGAATACATGAGTAAGGAAGTGGATAGGTGGAGTTAGAGTTAGGGGGATAAAGGAAGGGGTGTGGGGGGTACACAAAGCCAGTAAAGTGCTTTTATATTGAAGCAGTAAGTTGCAGACAAATTTATTAGTAAAAGGTTAACCGTGGTGCTTGTATTATTAGTTAACTAAAAGTTATTTCTTTTAGTCTATTTAAAAAATAGAAGAATAACAAAGATAAGTATATTGGGATAATCCATTAAGGCTATTGCTGATATAATCCGTTTGGGGGGAGTTAAACGTATACGTACAGCCATCCACACAGATGCAGTATCCTCTTCGAGATCAACACAACAAGGTTCTCAACAGGTTTCCGCTTAACATCTCCCAGGAAGAACGACGTCTCCTCCATGAAGCAAGAATATAAAAACGTCTATTCCTAACATCTGCTCAAACTGCAGCTTTACCTCCTATGGCGTCACCCATCTGTTCTCTTATCCCACCGCACACACAAACCTCCGTCCAATTGACCTTTGGATCCACCACATTGAACTGGTCAAGTTTTAAGTCCTACCCACCGCAATACTCCACTTCTCCCTATTTCAACTCCCCTACCTTTAACGACCACTCTTCCTCATCCTATCCCATGTAATCGTGAATCCTGTTTTTAGATCCTAGCGAGTTACAACAACAACAACCCAGGCCAGTGCATTCAAAATCGCTTATAGGAACTTTTAACTTAAAATGATTTAAGGATTGTATGCAACTAAGTAAAAATAATATAAGAATAATTAAAGAAATTTTGATAGGTCACTTTAGGTTGAACTGTTACCTTACAAAACTGGGAATTTACTCTAATGAAACTTGTAAGTTTTGTAGGGGAAGAGATTGGGATCTCAATACACCTGCTGGGAGTTTGCTCTAGCTGACATATTTTGATCTGTCAAAAATGTGTCTTTCCTCACATATTCTTAAATGCTAAATTCTACTACTTGTATAAACAATTGGTATTATACATTCTATTTAAAGAGTCTATATATTAATAAAACATATTCTTGCATTATACATATTTACATTTAAAGATATATTTTCAATATATAATTAACTATTTATTTTAATTGACTACAATATGTCTATTTTTATATTCTTTTAGCTGCAATAGAAGAAGTACTTAAGGAAGAAGCGGCATCTCCTAAAGTGAATGGCGAAGACACTATATCCAATAATTTATCTCCAATTGACGGTGATCTAAATCATGCACCATCCGAAGAGAGTGTTGAAGCCCATAGTGAAAGCGATGCTATTGTTACTGCAAAATTTACGCACGTGCTGCAAAAAGATGCGTTTCTAGTTTTTCGTGCACTTTGTAAACTTTCTATGAAGCCTCTACCAGAAGGTCATCCCGATCCAAAGTCACATGAGTTACGTTCAAAGGTTTTGTCATTGCATTTGCTGCTTTCAATACTACAAAATGCTGGTCCAGTATTTCGTTCCAATGAGATGTTTATCATGGCAATCAAACAGTATTTGTGCGTAGCGCTATCTAAAAATGGTGTTAGTTTAGTACCAGAAGTGTTCGAATTATCATTATCCATATTTGTGGCGCTTTTATCTAATTTCAAAGTGCACCTCAAGAAGCAAATTGAAGTGTTCTTTAAGGAAATCTTTCTTAATATTCTGGAAGCAACATCAAGTTCTTTTGAGCATAAGTGGATGGTCATACAAGCTTTGACGCGCATTTGTGCAGATGCACAATCTGTAGTGGATATTTATGTGAATTATGATTGCGATTTCTCGGCAGCTAATTTATTTGAACGTTTGGTAAATGATTTATCTAAGATTGCTCAAGGGCGTCAAGCGGTAGAATTGGGTGCAAATCCCATGCAGGAGAAGTCAATGCGAAAGCGTGGCTTAGAGTGTTTGGTATCAATTTTGAAATGTATGGTAGAATGGAGTCAAGATTTATATGTGAATCCGAACATGCGTTCTCCACATGCACATGATGGCACTGCGCAAAGAACTAATCATCATCATGAGCTGAATGTGTCTCACGACAATGCCGATAATGTATCGCAAACCAATACAATTATACATTCTGTACATGGTGGTTCCAGCCACAGTCTTAATTCCTACGGTAGTGTTAAAAATAATGAAGTACTTGATTTGCCTGAGGCTTTAGAAGAACGTAAAATGCGTAAAGAGGTTATGGAGACTGGGATTGAGCTTTTTAATCGCAAACCTAAGAAGGGCGTACAATTTTTGCAGGAGAAAAATCTTTTGGGTCTTTCTTGTAAAGATATTGCAAAATGGTTACATGAAGATGAACGTCTTGATAAGACCATGATTGGCGAGTACATTGGTGACAATGATGAGCATTCGAAAGAAGTTATGTGCGCATATATTGATGCATTCGAGTTTCATGGTATGGAAGTAGTGGCGGCCTTACGTTTATTACTTGAAGAATTTCGTTTACCAGGCGAAGCACAAAAAATTGATCGACTTATGGAAAAATTTGCGAGTCGTTACTGGGAATGCAATCCAAATATAAAAATCTTCCAGAGTGCTGATACAGTTTACGTGCTTGCTTATTCGATCATAATGTTAACAACTGATCTGCATTCACCGCAAGTCAAAATCAAAATGACAAAAGAACAATACATTAAAATTAATCAAGGCATAAGCAAGGATAGTAAAGATGATTTGCCCGAAGAATATCTCTCTTCTATATACGATGAAATAGCTGGGCAAGAAATAAAAATGAAGAACACGACAGTCAACAAACCTGGTAAACAATATATTGCTAATGAAAAGAGACGTAAATTATTGTGGAACATGGAAATGGAAGCTATATCGACAACAGCAAAGAATCTAATGGAATCAGTTTCTCATGTTAAGTCACCATTCACATCTGCTAAGCACTTGGAGCATGTACGTCCAATGTTTAAAATGGCATGGACATCATTTTTGGCTGCTTTCTCAGTTGGTCTTCAAGATTGTGATGATCCGGAAATTGCTTGTTTGTGTTTGGATGGCATACGCTGTGCAATACGTATAGCTTGCATATTCCATATGAGTCTGGAGCGTGATGCTTACGTACAGGCGTTGGCACGATTTACACTGCTTACTGCTAATTCACCTATAAACGAGATGAAAGCTAAAAATATTGATACTATCAAAACACTGATTATGGTTGCACATACTGATGGCAATTATTTAGGATCTAGCTGGTTGGATATAGTCAAGTGCATTAGTCAATTGGAATTAGCGCAATTAATTGGAACTGGCGTAAGACCACAGTTTTTGTCCGGCGCACAGACAACGTTGAAAGACTCACTGAATCCTAGTGTCAAAGAACATATCGGTGAAACGAGTAGTCAAAGCGTCGTTGTTGCTGTAGACCGCATTTTTACTGGGTCAATACGATTGGATGGTGATGCGATTGTTGATTTTGTAAAAGCATTGTGTCAGGTAAGTGTAGATAAACTTAAGTTCATTTCAAAGCCAATTTATTAAATTGGTTAATACGTGTTAATTATGTTAAGTACGCAACAAAATTATTTTACAAAAATCGTGCATGCAAATGTGTTCATTTACAAATTTATATATTAATGACATTAAAATTCGCTGATGTGTTAGTATTACAATTTTAATCTTGACTAAATTATTACTTACGACGTAAAAGTGAAGCATGTTTAATCTTTAAAGATTGAAATTACTTTAAACAACCGAAGATTAGTCTAAGTTTAATTACTTTTAATGACTTTTAATAAAAGTTATTTTATTTCTAATAAAAATCTCATATTTGCTTTATACACTTTTTATTTAGTTTGTTTTTTTTACAAGGAGGTTTTTTTCGAATAGTAGTGAACTACAACAACAAAAATGCATTATATTATTTTAATTAATTGTATTTTTGGTTGACCATATAGCTGTTTCGAGTATTGCCAAATATCCATCATCAGTGGTCTTGGAAATAATTCTTGTATTTAATTATTCGTAAATAATTTTTTAAGACTGTAATTTAAATTTCAATACTATTCTGCTTGTAGAGGCATTATTTGTTGCATGATTTATATATTCTTTCTTGTGTATAGAAACTAATCTAGGAACGTAATGCTGAGAAAGTCATGCTAATGTTACTCCACGAATCGCAGGGGCGAGACCAATATTTTGTAAATATAAGTTGTAATTTAACGAAATTTTTCAGACGGAAGTGACTATTATATTTATATTTAATTCATATTTATAGTTTTTTTACTATAAAACCATTATAGAAAGAGAGTGAAAACTTTTGAGTGGAAGTTTACTTGATCACGAGCAGTTTCCGTGCATAAAATTATTGAAAAAGAAAGAGATTACAATTTTGTTGGTGTAGTAATATGAAAACGCATTCCATATCGATGTGTAGCCTTTTCCATAACAACTAGTGCGATATAGGGATATAGTATAACTTTCGAGATGCGTTCTTCTTAGTTCTAAAATGGTTACATTGATTACATTTACAGAAAACTGCACCTGCCAACAAGCCTCAATAAGTATATGCAATTACATTATTTCCACAAACGATGCTTCTATTACTCTTTGTTAGTGTTTTTCATCTAAAAATATGCAATTGTGAAGCGTGATGTCTCGCGCACTAACCTATATAGACACATAGGGTATGAAAAAAGTTGTTCAGAGTACTGAATAATAATTACCTATAATAAACTTGTCAGTTACACGTTGTAATATATAATTTGTATTGTCAAATACTGCTTTTGTAGTATATTTGATATTTTATATTATTTATTTATTAATTATAATTATTATTTATTTTATTAATTATTTTTATTATTATTATTAATTATTTTTTATTCATATTGTAGGTATCTGTAGACGAATTGCAAAATGTTCAACCGCGCATGTTTTCATTACAAAAAATCGTTGAGATATCCTATTATAATATGGAGCGTATACGTTTGCAATGGTCACGTATTTGGCAAGTGCTGGGTGAGCACTTCAACACTGTTGGCTGTAATACAAACGAAGAGATTGCATTTTTTGCACTCGATTCCTTGCGTCAATTGTCCATGAAATTTATGGAAAAGGGAGAATTCGCTAATTTCCGTTTCCAAAAAGACTTCTTACGTCCTTTTGAGCATATAATGAAAAAGAATCAATCACCAGCCATACGTGATATGGTAGTTCGTTGCATAGCGCAAATGGTCAATTCACAGGCACATAATATCAAATCCGGTTGGAAGAACATATTTTCGATATTCCATCTGGCTGCTGGTGATCATGAGGAGGCTATAGTTGAGTTGGCATTTCAAACAACGGGCAAAATCATTGGTGAGCTGTATCAAAAACAATTTGCCATAATGGTAGACTCGTTCCAAGATGCTGTGAAATGTTTATCAGAATTTGCTTGTAATGCAAGATTTCCAGATACAAGTATGGAAGCTATACGTTTGGTGCGCACATGCGCATTATGTGTACACGATGCACCGCATTTGTTTGCCGAACATGCTGGTATGGAAAATGATATATCCGTAGCGGAGGAGGATCGTGTATGGGTGCGTGGCTGGTTTCCAATGTTATTTTCATTATCATGTGTTGTGAATCGCTGTAAATTGGATGTACGCACACGTGGATTGACGGTGCTCTTCGAAATTGTGAAAACACACGGCGAAAGTTTTAAACCAAATTGGTGGAAAGATTTGTTTAATATTATTTTCCGCATTTTCGACAATATGAAGTTACCAGAACATGTAACTGAAAAATCTGAATGGATGACAACAACTTGTAACCATGCGCTGTATGCCATTATTGATGTATTTACGCAGTATTTTGATGTTCTTGGACATTTGTTACTGGAAGATTTGTTTGCACAACTGCACTGGTGTGTACAGCAAAGCAATGAACAGTTAGCAAGATCTGGTACAAATTGTTTGGAAAATCTTGTAATCTCAAATGGTTTTAAATTTAATGAGGCAACTTGGGATAAAACTTGTCAGTGTATACTAGATATATTCGATGCCACTTTACCAACAGAACTGTTAACATGGCGTCCAACACAACAACAAATCCAAATGACTCAACAACAGCAACAATATCCACAGAGGAAGACTTTCTCACGACAAAATTCGTATGATAAAAATTCAAAAGGTGAAATGATTATGAATCATAGCCATTCTCAGCATTCCGTCTATAATACCAGCTTCGATGAAAATGTGGGAACACCGATGACTATGTATCATCAGCAGACGCAGCTTTTTCCACATAATGTCCTCTTCGAAAATCTGCTCATAAAATGCGTTGTGCAATTAGAATTAATACAGACAATGGACAATATTGTTTTCTTTCCGGCAACATCGCGTAAGGAAGATGCTGAAACTTTAGCTCAAGCGGCTGCTGATTTAACAGGTACTAGTGCCGCTCATAGCATTATCGATTGTCAGCGAGAAGAGCAGGGCATGTATAGTTATTTACGAACACGACAACTTTTGCAGCTGGCTGATTGTTTAATGCAATCACATCGTTTCGCCAAACGTTTCAATGCAGATCAAGATCAACGTAATCTTTTATGGCGTGCCGGTTTCAAAGGCTCTGTAAAACCGAATTTGTTAAAACAAGAGACTGCCTCATTGGCTTGTGTGCTTAGAATCTACTTTAAAATGTATTGTGATGAAAACCGACGAAGTGATTGGCAAAGTATTGAGCTCGAATTGGTGCGTGTATGTAAGGAGGCGCTGTCCTATTTCCTAAATTTGAAAAGTGAAGCACATCGTGATGCATGGACGACGCTTTTGTTACTTATACTGACGCGTATTCTTAAATTAGATGATACCAGGGTATAGTATAAATTTTTTTATATATTTAATATATGTTTTTATATATTTAGTATATGTTTTTATATATATAAATAATTTAATAATTTTATATATTTTTTTAATATAATCTTATCAAATGATTAATGCTTCTCTTGCTGGCTAAGAGCTTACTAAATTGATAGTGAGACTCTTACCAAAATTATTCCTAAATTTATTCTAAGAAAATATTTACTTATACAAAAAAAAATTTATTATTAATTTCAAATGAATTCCTTAAGTAAATAAAATTTGGAACTTCTGTCGGTGAAAGAAATTGACATATTGCGTGAGTGATCCAGAATTAATTACTAAATTCTTTGCTTTAAGTCTGAAACATTTTTGCACGGACGCAGATTACTTTTAATTGAGGTTTATACTTTTTTGTATTTACCGTGTAATTACTTGATAATTATTGATTAAACTTCATAAATTAAACTGTTCATTGACCGTTGGTTATTTGTTTTCTAATTAATATCAACTATCATTATTCGATTTTGTAATTTTCAATAATAATAGATAATAATATGAATTCTTTAATATATCACAAAAACTCTAACAAAAAAATTAATTCTTTAAAGAAATAAAATAAATCATTTTTAAACAATAATTTATCATTTTATATTTTTATTGCATAATTTTTTGTTTATTTTATTTATTTATTTATTTTATTTTTTGTTTATCTTATTTATTTATTTTATTTATTTATTTTATTTATTTATTTTATTTTTATTTATTTGATTTTTTACTTATATTATTTTTGTATTTTTGTTTTTCACTTATTTAATATTTTATATATTTTGTTTTTTATTTATTTATTTCATTTTTAATTTTTATAATTTTTTATTTTATTTGTTTTATTTTATATTTATTTATTTATTTTCATAATGCGATAGAGCTATTATTTTTAACTTATTTAAAATAAGGACGGTATTTCCTATCTGTCTTTCGTTATTTTCTTATTAGGTGATATTACTTTCCACGTGACTTAGCTGTTGGAGACAGTTATACCGCTCAGTTATACCGTTCTCAGTTTAATAATAAGTATTATAATTATATGTATAAATACTAAAATTTACTTGTTAAAATTACTTAAAAAATTCTGATGGTTCAATATATTGTTTTCTAATAGAAAGTTTCTATATTCTAAAAATAGTTTTTTCCTTTTGATTTACCTCACGTTTCCCGTATTTTTTCGGCTTCTTCAGGGTTATGTGGATTTCTAACTGTTAATAAATAAACTTAACATAATAATTATTATATTTTAATTGCTATATAGATCATTACTCATATATACATTTTTATTGACTTTTTTAGTTTGCAACACATGTTTCCAATTATTATACCCAACTTTGTGAAATTATGTGGTTCGATTTAAAACCTGAACTTAGAAGTGTCCTTAGACGAGTCTTTCTGCGAAGTGGTCCAGTATTTAATATTGTTAGCGCCAAATAATCTTCGAAATGCTGACTACTATTGTTGATGCCGCTGCCGCGCTGCTTTAAATATTCGACGTCGTGATTAATTGTTAACTGATTGAACTAAGTACATATATGAAAATATATAGATATACACCAATGCATATATTTATAAATATTTTACTTTATTTGCGTATAAAAAAATGTATGTATACATATATAAGAAAAAAAAAATAGACATTATTAATATTATTATATTATATATTTATATATTAATTATTCCGTATATATATTTAATTTTATATATATTACATATACACAAATACACAGAAACACGTTAAATTATATATTATAAACACACTTGAATATTTACATATTTATATAAATACTCTTTTTTTAAGAGTTAAGTAATTAATTATATACAAATTTGCCTATATATGTACGTTATAACACATATGTATGCGTATATAAATTTTATTTTTTTTATCTTTGTTTTAATATGTTTATAAAAATTTTTTTAAAACGATTATTATCTTTTATAAATTTTATTATTTTCCGGTATTTTTTTTATGTATTATTATCTTTATAAAAATTTTTTCTCAATATTAATATCTTCTGTAGATTTTATTGTACATAAATTTTATTTTTTTTTTTTAATGTATTGATATATTTATAAAAAATTTCTTACCATGATTACCGTCTTTTATAAATTTTAATATTTTCTATTTATTTATTTTTTTTTTGTGTTAATATCTTTATAACAATTTTCTTGCAATTTTCTTTTTACCTATATAGAAGCATAAAAATAAAACAAAAGATTATTGTGAAAAAAAAAGTAATTAATATTTATGTAAATATTTTGTAACAATTTGTTTTTTTACAATTTTTTTTTTAATTAATACTTTATTCTATTATTGTATATACATTTATGTGTATATGTAAAATCCGTTAAAATTTCTTAATAATTATATAAATATTTTTAATTACTTTTTTGTAATTAATTTTTTTGTTAAATTTTATTAATTTTAAGAAATATTAACACAAAAAAAGAAAACAGTAATTTCTTCTTATCAATTTAAATAGTTTTTCACTATATATATATGTTTAAATACTGTTATATATTTTGTATATTTTTTATTTTTGCATTATTTATTACGTTTTATGATATTAATAATATCTTATGTAATTAATACTTTTTAATTATTCAATGTGTTTTATTTTATTATAATTTCAAGAAAATGTCATTTATTTAAAAATGTTTAAATATTATTTGCATAAAAATGAGTGTATATGTATATCACTTGTATTTTTGTTATTTTATGTTAATTTAAGAAATGAAAATAATGAAAATTGTATTTTTTACCCATTGCTGAATTGTACATATGTGTCGAAATATTATTTATGATTAATTTTAAAATGTTTATAAAATTTGTTATCAAATATTTTAAATAATTGAAATAATCTCAATAAATATGTATCTAACTAAATTGTAACTAAAATATTTTAATTTCAAAGTTATTTTTTCTCAATACACAGTTATTTACGTTTAAGTTTATTTATGTACATATATGGGCATATAAATTAACATTGCGTACGAGAAATAAGAACAAAATATATATAATATTAAAAATTATATTTAATGATTACACTTTACTGGATTGTTAGTTGGAAGTTGAAATTCGTGTTTAAATATATATTGTTATAGGTTTAGCCTTACGGTTCCTGGTAGCAATATTTTAATGCAAGACATAACATAATAGTAAATAAATACTTGTAGAAACGTTTTATATATATGTATAAAAATAGATGATATATATTCGTCTTTATGTAAATGGAAAGTACCTTTTATAATTGTCAAATAATGCGTTTTTACTATAATACGTTTCTATATATTTTTATTTTTCTTGTTCGTAAATATGTATTTAATATATACATATTTTTAAAGATCTATTATCTTTATTAATTTTATTGTTGTTATATATTGTACATTTTACATTTGCTTGAATGCTTTTGTTTTTAATATTTTAACTAGTCGTTAATCGCATTACATAAAGTCTAAAATTTTGTTAAATATTTATTTTTAATTGAGAATATTTTTAAAGATTATTTTTTAATAATTATTTTGTTTTGAATTCTTAGCTGGCATAATGAAAAATATATTCATCTAAAAGTATTTGTGAAATCGGTAACATTTTTTTAGCACTTATTATATATAATATAAAAGTCAGACATAATATATAATAGACGTACATATAAAAGAAATACATACAAAATATATGATTTTTGTTTTGATTTTGTGAAATATATTAATTATTAAAAATATTATATTGTATTATGATTATTAAAAACCTATTAGCGTAAAAGAGTTAATATTTAATTATAATATAAAAAATTTGTATATTATATACAGTATACATAGTTTAATTTTAATAAAATAAAAACAATTAAGAAATAAATAAACAATATAGAAAATATATTTTTTATATTCATTCGGTATGTTATTAGTTTTGAATTTGAAATGTTTTTTATTTTAATTGAAAAAAAAATATTTTATTTCGGTTTTTGATCCACCATAAACATCCAGCTTTGGTTCAGCAAATCCATCGGTTGTTTTTGGTTTTCGGTTTAGAAAAGAAGCTCGATATATGAGTGCCACTTGAGTTAATGCAAAAAATCTTATGGACCAAATCTACATCTGCGAATCGCTGCTGAATTACAACAAAATCGACCCATTACTGAAGCGGTTGGTGACGTGATGAAATATGTTGACTGGATCACTTCCAACAACGTCAAGCGAAAACGGTCGTGATTGAATCGTGGTAAGCCGACTGAAACGGTTCCCAAGCCACGGCCAGGATTGACAGCCATGGAGGTTTTATGGGATTGGCAGGGAATTATCTACTATGAGCTGTCCACCTACGATAAAATTCTTAATTAGGAACTGTACTGTCAACAATAGCACAAATGGATCCACTAAAGGAAGCAATCGCTCACAAACGACCAGCTTTGGGCAATAGAAGAGGAATTGTGTTCTATCAGAACAACGCAAGGCCACACATATCAATAATGAGTCGCCAAAAGTTCTAGACGCTTAATTGGGAAGTTTTTATGCACATAGTCCAGACCTTGCACCAACTGATTTTCATCTGTTCCTGTCCATTACGAACATTTTTCTGATGAAAAATTCTGTTCAAGAGAAGCTTGTGCAAATGAGAGTGACATAATTAAATGGTTATTGCCCTCAAAATGGTAAGAAATTATCGAACAAAACGGCGCATATTTGACCTAAAACGGATCGTTCTAACTATGCAAAAAACCTTCAATTCACTGCAAAAATAATGGATTTTGTTTTACTATACCTATTATATATAAAAAATACATAAAATTATATATGTATACGCTGAGAAATATCTGTATATTATTTTAAATATTGATCATGTTGGCATAGAACTGTTTTCAGCAAGAAGTATAAATATATTAAGAATGGACTGCATATCTGAAATGTGTTTTATATAAATATCATATATTTATGGTCTGTATACAATAGAAATATATATTTATATAAAAGAACCATTTAGTAATTTGGACACTTCCTCATTATGACAACATGGTATATCAGATATAAAAGGTAACTGCATCTATAATTCGGGCAAATGATATTTTCCTCCCTCAACAACTTAAACATTAAGTTGATTTATATATATCACGTTTCTATCTTAATAAAATTTTTTTACTTTAATTTATCTGTAATATATCACATTTTATATAATACACTTAACAAAATATCCAGGTGATTGAATTAGACGCCTGTCAGTCGTCTTTATAATTAAGTACTATTTATTTCATCTCTTCTTATAAAATCATATTTTTCAGTTAAGATGATAATCATTTATCAATGCAATTTCACTATTGGATAATGCAATATCTTATTTATCTCAGTTGGAAAATTATTTCTACTAACATCGATGGCACTTTTACAAGTATTGGAATAAAATTCGACCCAAAACAAATAACTCTAACAGTGTTGCCTCTCATTTTGACTATAAAGAAGAATTAACTTATGGAATGCTTTTGTCTTAACGACGCTACATAACTAACTGCTCAATGTTGGAAGAACTCAGTAGTATCAAGCGTAAAATTAAAGTCTTGAATTTATTTAAGTAGTAATAAGTATGTGGTATGCAATTTATCAAATTTGAGCTCTACAAACTGATCTAATATTTATCAGTCAAAAACATTGCGAACTATATTTATTTTTCAGTTTTATGTTTGTAATACAAATATATACATATAACGATTTCAATATTTCTTGTGCACTATAAAAAACGAAAGGATATATCGGTGGTAATATATCGAACCGCCTCTTCAAAAGAAGCATAGTAGTAGTAAAAATATGAAGATGAAGCAGCATAGAAAATTCATAAGTAGAATATTAAATATGTTTATTTATTTTTAGGATTGATTATAATTATATGCAGAATTATAAAGAGCGCGATTTAGAAGTAAACGTATATGCAATAAAATAAATTTGAAATTTATTTTATATAATTTTTTTTGGAATTCTGAATTTTTATTATTATTATATAGATAATTATAATTAACAAAAATTTGAATATAGAGTAATGTTGATCCTTTTTTTTCGAGTCAGCGCAACTGGGCACTTTTACTCGTTGATAGCTAAGAGTACTACAGGGTCCCACCCATCTCATTGACTAATTTGTATATCTCTCATAAGATTCATAATTATTCAGTAATTGATCTAAGATCTGCGTACTTCCCCATGGGGAGAGTGATTACTCTAAGATTAGATAGTGGTAGGTAGGATAGCCTGTCAATTTTCGCATATAACTTCAGGGCTATGTCCCTTATGTATTTTTTGATCGGGTCTATTCTAAGGTCTCTTAGCATGTCGTTTGTGCGGATGTACCAAGGCACTTTGAAGAGTCTTCGGAGAGCCTGACTTTGAGCGACTTGTAGCTTTTGTATAGTAGAGTCGGCAGCTTTGCTATTCGCGACACACCCATAAAGTAATGCTAGTCTAATTATCTGGTTATAGATCAGTTTTCTGTTCTTCACGCTAAGGTTGTTGTGTTTGAAAAGTGGTTGTAAGCATTGCAGTGTTTTAGCGCAACTACTTCTTTTGACTTGTATATGCTTATGCCAAGTGAATCGCTTATCAAACGTGATACCTAAATATTTAATGCTATCCTCCCAATTAATCAGAATGTCACCAACTCTTACTCTCGGTGGATGTTGCCTGTGTTTACGTGTAATAAACAGGGCTTTAGTTTTCTCATTGTTAATTTTTATTTTTCATTTATGGAAGAACCCCAGGATGAGATTAATATGCTCCTGCAGCATGTTGGTGACATTTCTGGCAAGTTTATCAGAATATAACAAGCATGTGTCATCTGCGTATAATGATAATACCGAAGGACTTAGCATTGGGATGTCAGACGTGTAGATGTTGTACAACAAGGGGGAGAGCGGGGATCCTTGAGGAACACCCGCTTCTATTCTTCGTACTGATGAGGTGGTACTGTTGATTCTTACATGGAACATTCTCTCGCGAAGGAAGCTGCCAAGGATTTTGATCAACCCGACTGGGATACCAAAACGAGATATTTTAACTATAAGGCCGTCGTGCCAGAACTTGTCAAATTCCTTGGCGATGTCAAAAGTAATCATACCCGTTGATTCCCTTCTGCTCAGGGCAGACTGTATCAGCTGAGCTGTTCGTACCAGTTGTAATTCTGTGGAGAGGTGTTCTTTGAAACCAAATTGCTCATCAGGGAGAATATTCAGTGAGTTCACCGAAGTTTTAAGTCTATCTAGGATAATTCTTTTAGCTAACTTTCCCAGAGCTGACAGTATGCTAATCGGGCGCCAGTTCTGCGGGAGCTACAACTGTAGCCTGTTTCCAAATTTTAGGATATTCACCTAGCCTAAACATACAGTTTATTATATTTGCAATGAGATGGATCGCATCTTCCGGAAGGTTACGTAAGCATCTGTTGTTAATTTTGTCGTACCCTGGAACAGATTTTATCTTCAATCTTGAGATAATTAGAGCAATTTCATCACTAGAGCAAGGCGCGATGTCTCCATCAGGCTCTTGTGCCAAGATATTGTAAGCCTCTGCGATGATATGTTCTTCCTCTTCAGAGTCATAATTATAGTCTTCGTTTGGCTGGAATTGAAGCTCCAAAGAGTCAGCAAAGGCCTCGGCCTTTTCTGAATCTGTGTACGCTATGCCAGTCGCCCTATGAATAGGCGGCACTGCCCATTTGCGTTTCAACCTGAAATATTTGTTTATGGCCCAGAAGGATTTATTACCGGTTTCTAGTCCCAATAGGAATTCGCCCCAGTTTTCATTTCTAAAGATGCCAATCTTTCTTCTGATTTCCTTAGACAGTCGGTTGGGTTCTCTTCTACTTTCCGGGTCTCCAGTAATCTGGGCAAATTTACGGACTCTATTACGGTGCCTGATCATGTATTTAATATGTTGAGGAATGTTGAAGTAGTTGATGGGTTTTCTATTTTTGATAGTAGAGCTGTTGTGTAAAGCCACCTTAATTTGATACGTAAGGTTTCGAATACTTTCTTCCAGGTCCATTAAAGTTTCAGGTTGGTTCAACCCTCCTCCAACATCTACTAGATTCTTAAAGACGGCCCGGTCCGTTGTAATGAACGTGGGAGTCGTAATGTTAACGAGCATATTAATTATATTTTTAGCTGTAGCACAGCTTCATGTGACTCAATGAAGTACTTAGTATGTATTCAATATTACAAATAAACTGAATAACTAATTTTTGATCAAAAACGACATTAATTGAATTACAATTTAACTTTTTAGTTGAATTATTAAAGAAATAAAATTTCTAAGAAGAAGTATAGAAGAGAAAAGTATAGATGTATAGTAGACATATATCACTTATGAAGTATGTATTTCGATTAACCAAATACACTCTTTATGTGATTTGTATGCATAAAAATACATTAAGACCGAAAAGTTTTCGGAAATTCTCATTTAAAATTCGCGCGCTGTATATTTTTCGATATTTTAAGTTTATGTAGTTTGGCAGCAATTAAGGAAAATTACTATGCAAAAAATGAGCGCGATCTGTCAGACAGTTCGTTTACGGCAGCTGTTGAAACCAGTTCACCTCAGTAGTGCGTTGCGAAAAAAACAATGGAAAAAAATATTGATCAAAGAGTTTGCATCAAATTTTGTGTTTCGAACGAATTTTCGTGTGCAGAATCGTTGCGAATGCTACAAAAGGCTTATGGGGAATCAGTTTTATCGAAAACTCAAGTTTATGAGTGGTACAAAGCCTTTCAGGACGGTCGTACGACCGTCAAAGACATTTCGCAACGCACTACTGAGGTGAACTGGTTTCAACAGCTGCCGTAAACGAACTGTCTGACAGATCGCGCTCATTTTTGGCATAGTAATTAAGGACAGGGCTGCCAAACTACATAAACTTAAAATATCGAAAAATATACAGCGCGCGAATTTTAAATGAGAATTTCCGAAAACTTTTCAGTCTTAATGTATTCCCTTGTGATGATTTATTAATATGTAATATCATTTCGAAGCTATAGTCATTTTAGTGTATATTTTTAAGAATAAATTAAGTAATTATAGAGACAAGGAACAAAATTGAAAAGTGTTTTTTCGATTCCGTGCTATAATTTCTTTAAATACTGAAATCAAAAACGCTGTTTAAATAGATGTGCCCGATAAATTGAAATAGATTTTAAACACAGTTGCACAGTATTTGGGACATATAAAACATGAGTCATAATGAGTCATAATTACAAATTAATGAGGAGCATACTGAGAAGACCATACAAAATTTGTAAAAATCTTGAGAATTCTGGAAGATATATTTAAACGAAATGCTTTTTAAAAATAGATGTATTCTTTTTAAACCATAATAAAAGCAATGTAATATTTAAGTGAAAAACAAATGTAATTATTATTCATAAAGTTCTAAAGTAGAGAATTGTTTAAATCAAATGACAGTTTTTGGGAATGCTTTTATTATTGATACTTAGAGCTGCATTGTGCTTCAAATTTAAAAGCGGATGAATGTAATATGCTTTAATTACTTTAATTATTTTAATAACTTTAATTTAATATTTTTCTGTTTTTCAGAATGTTATTTTATCGAATTAGTTTTCTAAAGGATTAAATAAGTTAACCTGAACAAGTTCATTAAAACACCTGAGCAAATTAATCAAAACAATCTCGTCACAATCCTTAAATTCATAAGGTTGGTAAAACTTTCGCTTCATCTATATAAAAACTAGAATAACCTTTAAGTATCGATGGGAGAATAATTAATTTCTTAATTTCTAATTAATCTGAAGTTA